AAACATGACTTATAAAAGTTATTTACCTACTGAACCTATCAAATCTGACCACTGCAGGACTTTGCTGGGTTGTGCGGCGCCCTCTTCATTGTGTTTGGCATCATCGGCGCCGGTATTCTGGGTCTCTATGTCGACAAAACCAAGAAGTTCATGGAAGCCATAAAGATCAACATGAGCTTCTGTGCTGTGGCGTGCATCGCCTTCTCAGTGGTGAGAACATTCATTTGTCACACAAAGAAAAGTAGCTGGTTTCTGACTGTTCGTCAGGCCAGGAAGAAGGCTCTGCATTAAGACTTTTGATAGTTACACTCACTGAGTGACAAAGGTAGAAAGTAACGAAGTACAAATACTTCGTTACTGTACTTAAATAGAATTTTCAAGTATCTGTACTTCACACGGAGAGAAATGAGAGTGAGGTAACTTAGAGATGGAAAACGATGTAGGAGGACAGGAGAGGAAGACGAGAGGTTAGATTTAAAGGCAAGGACTGCTCAGTGGTGTTTGATAAACTGCAGATTTAAAGCTTGCGTGTGATGTCTTCATTTGAATTTTTATATAACGTGTTTTGATAAATTATCAAGTGTGTTCACACTAGTCAGTGTTTCATGATCATCCCTCCTGTCTGCTTTCCCACTGACCACTGCTAATACTACCTCTGATGATCTTGGCTTAAGTATTTCAGCTCCACCTCAGCCTCCTTCATTTTCTCTTTCATGCACAAAGCACTCTTGCAGAGCACGATGTTCTTGTTTTTAAGCATTTTGTGGCTTTATTTGTGAAGCGGGGACATGCTGTCCTCTCACATGCTGTATAGATTTGTTAATTACTTACAGTGATTTTCATGGATACAGCTGTCATTGCTTAAGAGTCCTCTTCCAGTTCACACAACTGTTCCCGGGCTCAGCATATAAACTAAACTTTGGATGCTACAGATCGGCTAATGTGAGAATGACCTAATACTGGGTACTGTTTATCCTAAAAAAGTCTTGGTCCTGGATCAAATCAAGCGACTGTCAAGTTTATGAAACTATTAAGCCTTTCGTTATGATATGGAGTGTAAACTGTGACCATAAAGATGGGCGCATAGTGAGCAGGAATAATCTATATGGCATAAAAACCATTGGACTGATTGATAGATCTCAAAACGGCCATTCACCACTGAATCTGGCTCCAAAGGTGAGTCAGTCGCCAGTCTTCTGCTGTCATTCTGAGTTTTAGAGACTGCTGCAATGGAAATCTAGGAAATTATGGATATTTTCTTTTTCTCCTCTGATTTTGATATTTAATATGAACATTAATGCTGAACTCTTTTCAGCAGGATTGTATTCATTTCACGACAGATTTTAATGATTATTTCTTAATCTAAAGTATTTTTTGTGTGCTGACACACAAACCATGCTGTCAAAAATGTGCTGCAGATTCTTGAAGTTAATTTTTTGTCTATATTAAAACTGGTAAACGCCTCTTGCAAACTAACGTACAGTTTTTTCCAGGCAGACGTTTCTATTTGCCTGAAGTGTGTGTCAGACAGAAGTTGAGGGTGCTTAAAGGAAATGGAAAGACTCTGTGTTTGATGTGCAAACACTTTGAAGAGAAGGCTTGTTTGGTCTTTTTATCAGGTTATGCTGACAGCTCTGTTATGTTAATGCAGTGTTTCAGTTATATACAGCATAAATTAAAATTCTATATCAGGTTATTGAGAGGACATCCACTACATAAAGAAAACTGTCTTCAGACGCGGGATTTATATGCACACAACCCAAATAATTTACTCCATATACTTTCTTAAATGCTCAAAACCCTTCTTCTCCAGTATTATGGACAAAATAATGAACTTTTAAAATGATCGTTAACTGGTATAAAAGACAAAAAAACAGTGATGTGAAGGTGAAAGTCTCACACCAACTAATGTGTGTTACATAAATTGAAAAGATAAACTTGAAAGTCAGGAAAATGTTATGTTATGAATATAGTAGTCTGGGTTTTTTTGCCCTCTTTGGAGCTCACATTTAAAATTTTATGGAAAGGCATGTTTTCATCACGGGAAACTGAGCTAACATTAGAAAAATCCACTGCGGAGCCACTTTGGTCGATCAGTAAAATGACTCTGGCATATGCTCTCACACATTTGCAGGTGCGAGGAAGGGAACAAGGAAATGTGTAGCTTATAAATTAAATATAAATATTTAAAAATAATAATAAATACAGCCTGTATGTAAATACATCTAAATGTACAGAGTTGGATATGCATTAAAATTTAGGTACC